TATAAATTATAGAGAGATTTACGCTAAATTTCAAAACAACGAGTTATTAACAATTTTGACTAATAATAATTATAATTTTGTCTAATATTTATTTTATTCGTAATGCAAAAATAAAAATAAATAAATAAATAAAAGACCCCTTATAAATGATATACTCCCCCTCCCTTACAGTTTATCCATTTTTCTATTTTGATATGTCCCATAACAAAGTATCTATTTTTTTTAGTAATGGTACTTTCTACTGATATTAAAAATACCCTTACAACTTACAATATATTACGCAAATGTCATTACATTTATATCACACAATACTAATAATAAGATTATATTAGTCTTTTCTATTTTATTCGTACCACACCTCAATATAATATTAAAATTCCTAAAACTCCGTACAAAAAGCAAACATATAGATATATAAAGGACGGATGAAGTATATATATATATATTTTTTTTACCTATAATAGAATATAAATAATTAGATAAAATAACTTTTCTAGTATTTTTAGATCAAATATCAATAATAGTATTAATATTAATTTTGTCTAAACAATATTTATAAATAATATACTTTTTTATCTATAATAAAATATAAACAATTGAATAAAATAAATTTTCTAACATTTTTATATGAAAAATATTAATAATAGTATTAATTAATAATAACTTCGTCAAATACATAAAAAACAAATACTTACAAATTTTGAGGGTACATGGGTTTCAACCCCAAACTTGATAAATATGACCATCAAGCCATATTCATCTACTACTTTATTAATATCAAATAATATGTATATATAAATATTTTATATATAACATAAATATATAATGGGTCCTATTTAGATTGGGCCCTGAGCGGGTGCCCCAACCCTGGGCCCGGGCCAATTTATTGTGACGAGAGAAATGCCGTAACAAAATTCGTTTGACTGCTCACAATATTTATGAAAAATTGTGTGGCAAAACACATTTGTTACACGATAATACATTACGGAAAAAATTCGTAACTACAGCATCACAAAAAATATATTTTGCACGAAAAATTATTTTTAGTTCAAAAATTTTCAACAATAGCAAAAAAATATTTTTTTGGTAGTATATATATACACTTTTCTATCTCATTATATCACCTAATTTGCATCATACTTAATAATACTTATCGAAATTTTTTTGTATCGAAAATAAATGTTGTACTATATTTAGGACGGACGGAGTACCATATAAAGATAAAAAAAAAAAACAAAAAAAAAAACCAAATAATAATAAGTATTTTTTAACTTTTATACCTATCAATAGAATGCACTTTGAGTTTTATTTGGGTGTGTTTGTTTGAAAGTTTGGATTTTGGCTTCAGATTTGAATAGTAAAAAATTAGAATTGAAATAGTTATATGATGTGATATAAATAAGTATTAACGTGATGTTTTGAATTTAAAATTGTTTTTTAGTATAGTTAAAAAATAAAAAAATGGATGTTTGATTTGATATTTTTTAAGAAAAAATTTTATGTGAATAGTAAAAGTCTTCCAAAATCCTCCAAACAAACATACCCTAAGTGAAAAAGTACAGTTAGTTACAAAATAATAATAATAATAATAATAGTATAAGAGAAATAAGATTGATTTATTGCGGAGATAGTGAATATATGTGTTCATATATTTATATTGAAAAGGGAATGAATAGTGTCAATTATTTATTTAATTGGTTTTGGGAAATGAATTATGAGGCTTATGTAGGAGATGTTTTAAGTAAATAAAATTAGTTTCATTAAAAATAATTAGCAACTATACATTTATATAAACTATTATTATTACTATTATTATTATTATTAGTTTCTTTGTCCAATTAATTTTTTAATTGACTCGATATTCAATATATATAATATATATATTTGTTTTTTTGCAAAAATCAAAAAATTAAATATAAAATTTATTTATTTATTTTTTGCATTGTCCCTAACACATACTCCGTGATATTTATAGAGGTTGGGTGCCACACAACATCGAAGAATGAATCTTATGTGCAGAAGGCCCATAGGAAGAGGCCCAAAAGGCTCATTTCCCGAAAGTGGGCCATCAAGAACAACAAAATATTGGGCCTGCCCAATGCTAAAGTTAAACAAATTCTGAGCCCAGAAAACAAAATAAAAGAAAAAGAAAAAGAAGAAACAAACAATAAGTATTTTTATTACTTTTTAATGAGTAGACTTCATTTTTATTACTTTTTATTTTTTCACGTCAATTATTTTTTTTTCTTGTCACTGCTAAAATAATAAGTATTTTCTATTTTATACTCACAACAAAAATAGTTATTCTAATTTTTTAAGTAATTTTTATTCTCATTTTATATATATATATATATCTATACATATATTATTTATTATTACTTCAATTATATTTTTTAATATTTTTTATTAATTATGTATGTATATATAAATTAAATATATTTTATTTTTTTAATGTAATTTTGTATTATTTAATTGTGTTAAAAAAATTTAATTATATTTTATTTATTAAATTAAATTATTTTTTAATATTGATTTGTTTAAAATTTAAATGAATAACATATATCCAATATTGGTATTAAAATTTAAATATATAATAGATTTAATATAAATTACAAAAACTATTTTATATACATAATATATGTATATATATATATATATTGTGCCACATAAAAATAAAAATCGCTCTTGATGCTCTGCAAAGCGTCTTTCCATTTGATATCATTTGTTTTTTTTTTTTTTTTAAATAATAATATGAAAGTAGAAATCCGTGTCTTGCGGGTGGTCTTGAAGACATCTGCAATAGAGATACACAAGTACTCATTTCAGCTTTTTAAATTAATTTTTATTCTTATATTTATATATATATATATATATTAATGAAAAATCACGGTCTTTTTATATTTTATTTTTTATCAATTAATTTTTTAATATTTTTCTTTTTTATTTTTTCATTAAATTTATTCTATAATTTGTGTAGGAAAAAAAATTATTTAACTATTAATTTTTATTTACTATCATTATTACTATAAAAATATATATATATCATATTTTCTTTAAATATATATCAAACAAATATAAATCATAAATAAAATGAAAAAATTAGACGAACATAAAAAATTATTATTGTTGAGTATGAAATTTATAATTAGGGTAAATGGCCCAAAATAAGAGGAGAGTTGGGCCCGTCTTTGGGCCCATCAGGTGATTACGGATTTCTCGAGATAGTCAGTTGGTTTGCCGTCCGTCCAAAGAACCATGGGTTATTTTGGGCAGGAGAATTGATGGCTAAGTGGTTGGTTGGGTCAGCCGCCCATTTGAGGAGATGAGGTGTTCAGAGATGGTCAGCTAAGCCAGTTGGGTTCTGTAACTAGCGGGAGCGGTTGGTGAAATGGTTAAGACACGTCTCAGTGGAGGAGCAATATGTGGACGCGGTTGACGGTAGTTGCTGTAACCGACCAGACGACGTTTTAAAACGTTTTTTTAGGAAATATTTAAGGATTCACGTTCTTCCTCGGATAGTTCTTCAACCAAAAGCAAAATTAATTGCAAATTTCCTTTTGAGGATCACCTTTTATTTTCATGAATTCAGTGCTTTATGCTACAAATAAATTTTTTATAGGTTCACCAATATATATAAATTAAATGCCGGAGCGATAATTGTCGGCAAATATCTCCGGTAATTGTCGACAATTAACGTCAGTCATAAATTTTCGGATTAATGTGTAGAATTTATGCACCCGAGCCAATAAAATATAAATTTTATTGCCCCTTTCACTCATATGACACATGTTGTACCCTAGAGAAGTGATCTCGGTGTGTGATGCAAAATCCCTTTGTTTTGTACTTGTGTTGTGATTGTTGCTTCTTCATGGAAAGTTTATAAAGTCTTGAATTCACATGTTGGTAGCTTTCGAATGATGTGGTACAGATTTAGATGGCTTATGGCTTATGTATTATGTGTATGTGATCATTTTGGTTTGTACTAAAACCAAATTCACATGTATTATATTCCCAAAAGTAGTTGTTAGGGTGTTTTAATCATTTTTTTAGGGCCTTAACACCAAGAAACTACATTCTATGTTTAAAATTTTCATACATGAGCGAAAATTTCTACATAAAACTCCTCATTTGATGGAAAAGATATTCAAAGATATCGTCGAGCCGCATTTCAAATCTTGATCATCATCCACTACAAAAAAAAAAAGAAGTTGAAATTAGCTACAAAAGTTTTGTAGCAAAAGATAATTAATTCATAGCAAAAAATGAATTTCGTCGCCTATACTATATTAGTAAAGGTATTTGACGACAAATTTGACTTTCGTAACAAAAGATAGTTTTTTGTTGCAATAAGAGTTAAGAAAAAAAATATAGTTAAAATAATATGATTTTATAGCTAAAACAGTTTTAGCTATAAAAATAAAATTAATAACAAATAAATTTTAACAACAAAAAGTGCATGATTTTTTTGTCAAAGGATTTTACCTATGAAAGATTTTGTAGCTAAAACATTTTTTTCGTAATTAAATAGGATTTTCTAGTAAAACTAAAAATTAACAACAAAATTAATTTTATAATACATAATTAATTTTTAACGACGAGATTAATTTTTATTGCCAAAATGACAAATTCTAACTAAAAAAAATAATAATTTAAAATTTTTAATATGGAAAAACTTTATTTGAAGAAAATATATATATATATATATATGTATATTTATGAAGCTTAATCATCTAGAGATGAAGATAAAAGTCTTAATATGGAAAAACCTATAAAAGGCTATATATCCCTTTTGGTTTGGATTCGAACTTTGCCGATAAGTGGACCGTGGGCTTAACATTTTCAATAATCACTTAAAAAAAGATGCTCATTTGTGACAAATATAAAATTGACGCTCACATCATTGGCACATAAAAACAAAGGGCTTCAATTTCACACTATTTTTATTTTTTAATATTATTGAATATTTTCGCCTAACGCAATAGACTACATAACCAGCACACTTTTTATTATGTTTTTTTTTTTTTTTTTTTTTTTTCTTCTACTACATATCATACAAACATACCTACAATAAACTATCATCATTCTCAATAGTAGCAACAAAAATTCACATCATTAATTTATGCTGCTTCTTCATCATCATCTTCTTTCACACAACAAATCTCGAATTCTCTCTTCATTCACTCCATAATGTAATAATTAAAGTCGTAATAATTGCACTCCAAGAGCAGCGGCTGCCGACAGTTGTTCTGTCATAAACTCGTAATAATTGAACTCAAAGAGTAGCGGCTACGACTCGTAATAAACCCATCACAACTCCATTTCAATCTTGTGAACCCTCCCATCCTCCGGCATCTTCTCCAACTTCACCGTCGCCAGCCGCGTCGCCGCGTCGTATCCGAACTCGACCTCGACCGACCCCACCGTACACTTTCTCGGCTCTGCCGACGAGTAAGCACCGAAAACCCCACAACCCTTCACTTCAATCAAAACAATCGCGACCGGGTCGGCGCTCGCGTTCTCGACGCCCACTCCGTCGCCGTTCCCGTCGATCCTGTACCCGTTCTCCGCCTCCGACAACCGTCCCCCGGCCTTCACTTCATACTTGAGCCCTTCTACGGCTCCCCCGGCATTGAACATATTGATGAGCCCGAACGGGGCGAATTCGAACCCGGGCGCCAACGACTTAACTGGCGTGACGGTGAATATTTCGTGCTCCAGGACCTTGAGGGAGACGGGCATGGCGACGTTGTGCGGGAGCGTGATGACCTCGCCGGTCCGGTGTGAGTACAGAGCGACGGATCCATCCCAGTCCGGGTCGACGGCAACGGTGGAAATGAGATGGACGTCGCGGCCCCTTACGTAGCCGGTAATTGCATCGGATTTCGTCTGGTGGAAAGTGTTCCGTCTCTCGACGTCGTTCCACGCCGCGCCTTGGCAGTTGTACACGCCGAGAACTCCCGTGTGCTTGTTCATGTTCCATATCTTCAATAGGCTGCAGAAAACGGAAAAAACTTGGTCAAAGATTTCGGCTTTTACGGTCGTGATTTCGAAGAAATCGGAGCTTCGAAACGTTACCTAACGCCGTCCCGAGCAGGGTCGGAGAACAGGCAATCTTTAGTCGGCCGGCCGGGTAAAGTGGCGCGGAGAATCGAACCATCCGGAAGCACCAGTTTCTTCAAAATCTCGAAGTTGTGCTTCCCCGGTGCGTCGCTGTTACATATAAACATCGAATGAATTCATTCGATCAAAAGCTAAGCTACTCGTCGAATTGAATCACAAACGGAACAGGTGAAAGTTCGTTACCTGACGTAGACAGGGCCGCCGCTGATCGCCCTGGCGGAGCCGTGGTACTCGGCGGCCGGATGGAGAGAATGGAACATGTCCCAATCGGGCAACATTATTTCTCCCAAAAACACGCTGTTGTAAGCGACGGAAGCGATATGGATCGTGTGCGACACCGGATCCCTCGGGTAGAAGTCGTCGGACGCCCTCACGATCGCCGTCTGTTTAGAGCTGTTCATCACAACATAAACATCAGATGTTGTCATAGAATCGATTCGATCGGATCCAATCCGATCCGAGCTGAGTTCTTACCAATAGAGCGACTCGAGGTTGTGGCTCATACAAGCGATGCAACCGTTGTCCGGAAAGTTCCTCGCAACGGAAGCGTCGAGCGCCTGATGATACTGCCGCGTCAACTCGACTCTGCCTCCGAGCCCGGCCCCAAGTGTCTCCAAAATGCACTGCACGTCGACCTTGACTCCGTCGATCCCGGCAGACGCCAAGTAACTGTGCAACTCATTGTAAAACTTGTATACATTTTTCGGGTTTACTAATCCCAACCCCTGTAGAGCAATGGCGTCGGTTTTCCATCCGGGCTCGTTCGCCAGGACGCCCTTCGACACCTCTGGAAACTGCATAGCCGGCCGGAACTCCTCCATCTCCTTCACATCGGGTTGAACGCCGCCCCAATATCCGGTGATTGCGTGCCAGACGTAAACGTACTTCAGCCCGTGCTTCTCTTTCGCGATGTTCACTATGTTCTTGATCCCGGTCGACTCGTTTCGGAATTTGTCGTTTTCCTTCAATCCAGTGAGGCGCAGCAGCTGCGGCTGGCCGAGGTTCTGCTCGTCTTTCGGCTTCTCGACGGGCTGGTCGGTGTCGGATTCGACGGACTGCCATCCGTCGTCGATGATCACGAATTTCGGGGGCGTCCCGACGGATTCAAGGCTTTCGAGGCCGGATTCGACGCCCTCCTGCGTGACGTCTTGGTAGAAGGCGTCCCAAGTGCACCACCCGAAGTAGTCGACGATGCCGGGGAGCTTCTTCTCGTGCCGCATCCGGAAAGTGCCGAGGTGCGTTTTAACAGCTTTAATGGCGTCGTGCACTGTTTGGTAAGGATCCAATCCAGAGGTGATGTAGACCGCATGATTGAACACCGATCCGACGGCTGAGATGTCTCCGCTCTCCAGGCAGAGCTCGAGCTCGTCGCCGGCGTTGCCCTGAAGGCAGGCCTTGAAGGGGCCTTCGATCAACGGCAGGAAAACGGTGTAGACTATTTTGGTGTCATCGTGGCCGTCGATTTCGGACTCGAGCTGAGATCCGTCTTTGGTTTCGAGGAGTAAGAACTGCGTCTCGAGGGGGATGTCGCGGCCATTGTCGCCCATTTTCTGAGCCATCCACCATAGCTTGAATCGAAAGCAGGACAGGAATCTGACGTCACGGAGAGTCCCCAGCGACACCACGTGGCGGCTGCCGTCGCCGGCGAACACCGCGCCGAGAAACACGCCCTCCGCAGGCCCCGTCGCCGCCGCGGAGGCGGCGATCACGTTCTCCGGAACGTCGGTGAGGATAGTACGGTCCTTCACCACCAGCTTCCGCTCTGCGATTCTAACCGCCGGCTTGATCGTCATCGCTGATTCCTTCTTCTCACTGGTTTCTTCTCCTTCGCGTTTTTCTAATCGACCAGTCTGAGCAAAATTAGGGCAAACGCTCAGCTCCAAATTGGGGAAAAACAAAATCGCAACTAATTTTTGCAAAATTTCACTTCGATCGAGCAACCGGATTATCCGCACTTCAAATTGACCAGCGATTGGGGAGTAGGATGAACAGAAAACGTACCTTGTATGCGAGGATTCGATTGGGAGCAGGAAATGTGTGATCGAATAGATAATTTGTGCTTGTGTTCTTCCGTGGAAGGAAGAGCGAGACGAGAGGGTTGAGTGCAGGAAGGGTCTGAAGAAAAGGGGTATTTATAGTAGGTGCGGGGCAGCGCAGCGAGATCGAGAGTGAGGACGCTGCCATGGCCATGGCCGGTGAAGTTTGTTTTTTTTTTTTTTTTAATGAAGAATTGTTTCAGGGTTTCTTGCTCGTGATTGGGCAAGAAATATCAAACAGCAAAAGAGGAAATGACACGTAGGACACAGCATTTATAACTACCCGTTTGTTTGGATTTGCATATTTTATTTATTTTTTATTTGTGATTTTTTTGGTTAATTTTGCGTCACGGGATTGCCTTAGAAATATGAAATAAATATTTATTTATTTTAACTAAAAGGGAATTTCGTATGCTCTGAATTTTATTTTTTTAATTATTATTTTTTTGAAATATGTACATATCTTTATGGTTCAGAAATGGTCAAAGTAATTAGTGTATACGTCTTGTATAGTTATCAGAATATTATGTTACTAAGTAAAGATTAATTTATAATAATTGATGGAATAAAATAAATTGAGGATTTAATCATTGTCGATTTTATCTGTTTAACTTATTTTATTACAAAATATTTTCTTGTGCGTAGACGTTTGTCGTTTTGGATTTTACTTACGTGATTTCATTTATTTATTTATTTATCTAAATGAAATAGAGAAATATTTAAATGTGACATTTTTAATTAAATAAATATTAAATACGATATTTATATCTATATATAACACTTTGTTCATTTTGTGTATTTTTTCCTATCTACTACTTTTTTTATTAATAATATATTATTCCCTCAAAGTATTATTCAAGCGATTATTGAAATAAATAAAAGAAGTGCAAAACTAACACACTAGAAAAATTAAATTGTAAAAAAAAAATCAATAATTTATTATATTAATATACAAATTAAATTTTATAATTTATTATTACATTAATATAGAAATTAAATTTTATAATTTAAGAATATTTTAATTTTTAACTACATCCAAATAATAAATATATCAGTTTTTATTTGGATATGTACTAGCTAATGATAATGATACAATATGTTAAATGTGTGTATATATATTTATTTGAGATAGAAATTTTGAAATTTTAGAAAAAAATTTAAAATACTAAAAATTTTGATATTAGACTTGAAGTTATATAATGCTTTCTCCGTCCGTTTCTAAGGATCACATTTATCTTTTGCATTAATATACTTAACATTAAAAATATTATTATATTTGTATAATTTTTTTTTTTGTACAAATGTCATTCTATTAGTATTATAATGGAAGTATTTTTGCAATTTTTTCTTAATGTGTATTATGTATTGATATAATAATTAATATTCAAATATTAACATGTAAAAAGTAAATGAGATATTTAGAGGTGAACGGAGATAGTAATATATATTTATATTTGATGTAATATGTTTTTAAGAAAATTACTATTAATAAATAATATTAAAATTTTAAAATTATCTGTACGAACAAAATCATATTTTACTTTAAATATCTTTATATTTTGAAGTATTAAAATGGCTGAATGTCTGTGTAAAACAAGACATATTATATTAATTATTAATATTTAGGGGACAGCTCAAAATTTGTAATAATAAAGATGATAATATAATATTAATAGACTGCCACGTAGGCAAGGAAGCATGATTGAGGTAATTAATTGGGGGATGATCTCAGCCGTCCGATCGAGACGTCGACGTGGAAATAGATGAGCATGTTGAAAATAAGTGGTGACAAAAAATGTGAACAGCAGCAACTTTCCACCGGTGGATGGACGCGTGTCCTACGTGTCATTGACTGTTCCGGACACGTCGGGTTATTTTAGATTCTTCTAGTAGCCTAGGCTAGCTTATTACAAACGGGTGGGTTTTGACAATATATTGGCTTTTTTCTAAAAATAAAATAAAAATAAATATATTAGTACTATTTAATTGATTCGATTCTTAAAAATATATATATTTTTTTTGTTCGCTTCAAAACATTTAATTTTTGTATTATTATATTTAATATTAAAAATATTTTTATATTTATATAATTTTTTATATAAGTGTTATTTTATTAGTACTATAAAATATATTTTTAATTTTTATTAATTTGTATTACGTTTTGATTTAATGATTAATATTAAATGAGACCCTGGACGGAGATAGTATATTATTGTTTAAAATTAAACATTTATGTAAAAAATTGTTCAATTTTAATTTGTAATATTAAAAAAAGATAAATTTATATACCGCCTCCGTCGTACTGAAATAGTGACATTATTATTTTATAATTTAATAATTGTATTACCTAACTAATATAATAAATACACTTCAAATAATTGATTATAAATTCTTAATAAAGATTCTTAGAATCAAATACTTTTTTATGCTTCTTTATCCCTCCGTTGCCCTTAATAATAATAATAATAATAATAATCTATATAATATATATTTGAGGTCGGTGCGAATTCCACGAGATTAAAAAAAAAAAAAATTCTTATGTTTTTAAGTTTTTAATAATAATAATTATATCAATTAATATAATTAATAAGTTAACATTAATATTATATAGGTATTATTGATATAATTGATGAAATTATAACTGATAAATATATTTATTAAAATTAAAAAATTATTATTATTATTATTATTATTATCTATATATTATATAAATAATTTAATATATTTATTGTGTAATTTATTATAATTTGAGCTCGATGAATACCACAATTTTAAAGATTTTTTCTCATATTTTTTATTTTTTAATAATTGTAAAATTAATTTAATATTTTTTTTAATTTACATTTAAATTCATAATTAATTATAGTTATAATTATGTATACTAATTGATCATCATCAATATATTTTAATTAATTATTTGGTATTAATTACATAATGCTAAATTACTTATAAATAAAATTTATTGTTGTGCAATACATTAATATATTTTATAAAATGTAGTATAAAAAATTCAGCATTTATATTTAAATAAAATTATATACTTCTTATAAAATTAATAAATTGCTTATGTATTATTATATTAAAATTAAATAGCTAAATTTTATAGTATTATTTATTTATTTGTTTATTTATATCAAATTAGTAGAATTCATATTAAAATATTTTTTCATATACTTTTTACGTCTCAAAACAATAGGAACATTTGGGATAGACACGAAAATGAAGGAATAATAGTATTATATTGATAATAAATGTAAAAATATTTTTAAAAGACTAAAATATCTTTACTTTATGTAATATAATTTTATGTCCATTTATACCCCTAATTAAGGGTAGTAAAAATGTAATAATTTTAGAATGTAATTTTTATTATTTTTATAATTAAAATAATTATATTGATAATCAATCAAATCAAAACTACGTAATTAAATTTTGTAATTATATAAAAATTGATTGCTTAATAAAAAAAATATAAACACAAAATATAAAAATATTTTAACACAATTATAATCAAATTTGTATTAATGATTGACTAACACTTCAACTTTATTTCTTCTCTACTTCTCTTATTTTTCCGACAATATTTATTAGGTGAGTTTTTATCAATCTTTCAACAACATTTTTCTCTTCCATAGCCGCTAATATAGTTTTTTCCTCCTCATTTTAGTTCATTGGAGTTCTAAAAAAATTGTATCTATCCAAAAATGATGGAGTATAATTTATTTACAATATTTTATTTTGTTATTGTTTTGTACTTTATATAAATAGTTTAATATAATTTTTTTTATAAATATTTATCAGTTATTTGTTCTTCAAATAATTTATATTTAATAATAACATTAAAATAAAATTAATTTATTTTTATTTATAATATATGTATTATATTATTCATATTTTTATATTTAAAATAAAAATTTTATTATTTTAAATAAAAATTAAAATATTGATGATTTAATAAATTTTTATAATTTTATTCAAATGTATTTGTGTATATATAAGTTTTCAATAAATCTATACTATTTTACTTTAATTTTCTTTATTTTTGATATTTTTATTAAAATAAATTTATATTAAATATTCATAATTAATATACCATAATTAACATACTTAACAAAACTATAATGATCACAATCAATAAATATTTTATATATAAAAAAGTTGATAAAATTATTAAAAATATGATTCTATAATGTATAAAATATTTATTTATTCATTTTAAAAATAAATAATTTATTTAAATTTAAATTTAAAAAATAAATTCGTTATTATACATAGTTATTAATTACATAACTACTTATTACATAAATTCTAATTTTTAACTTTTAAGAAAAAATTATAAATGTGTTCTTTTAATAAAAATTTAACGGAAACAAAAAATATATATAAAAATATTTGATGAACATAAAAATGCTGTGGAACTCACGGATTTCCCACTAGTAATAATAATAATAATAATATGCGTATATGTTAGTATTATTGTCGAACAATATCAATATAATCACATTATAACGGATTTTTTTTAGTTTTATAGTAGATTACGAAATAATAATATTTTATTATTTAGTAAAGTATATAAGAGATTTGACATTTTTGTCTTTTAATTTTATATATAAATTAATTGCATGTATAATGATATGTTTATAATTTAGGTAAAAATTAAAAATATTTTGATATTAATATATGATTATTTTATTAAAATATGAAATTGATATTTTTTAATATGACATACGAAAATGCTAAAAAGAAATATTTTTACTTGAAACGGAAGAAATATACTCCCTCCGTCCCAATAGAATAGTCTTGTTTACCATTTTTGTCCGTCCCAAAATAATAGTCTTATTTTCATAAATAACCATATCACTATAAAATTATCCCTACTTTTTTATTTTTATTACACAATTGTCAATATTTTTTACTCTAATACATTCACAAGGGCAAAAAAAAAATTTATCCATACTTTTTACCGATATAATATAATATTTCTTAAATCTCATGTCCAACCCAATTAAAATTATATTTTATGGGATGAGGGGAGTAATTTAATAGTTTTTTCAATTATTTAAGCAAAAAATAATTAATATTTATTTTTCACTGTTAAACTATGATTTTTTCTTTATTTTATATTTTTTTTCTATATGATTATGGAACAAATAATCTGTAGTTTGAGAGATAATGATGTTTTGATGCAT